GACTAAAACAGTGTAGTGAAAACGTAATATATTTTCTTGTATTTTTTGCTTAACAAAGATAATATAGATGGTTCGAAAAGAACAAGTAATATTATTTATGTAGCACACACTTCAGAAATCATTGGAAATAAATATTGAAAATGAAAAATAGTGGATTATTGATAAATACGCCTGATGAAAATTATGTTATAAATATTTGCATTATTTTGTATTATCACAATCGTAGCGTACCGATAGCACAAAATTATATGCACTTCAGTAAAACGAAAATACATGCGCATTAGAAACACCCGGGGAAGGGAAGACGGAATAGCGAATCCATGAAAGTATTAAGATGCAAGGAGCATAAAATATATTTGAAAGTTAAATACGGGTAGAGGAACGCCCCTGTAGGGTATAACCAAACGCAAACTGTTCGTGGCTTTCTACACCCCTCTTATATTTACTATGTTTCGGCGCTTTCAGCAATCTCCCTTTGCCTTGTGCAATAATCTTCCGTAATAAATGTTTTACGAAACATGTTTAAATGTAATATTCAATGATTTCATATAAACGATCATATTCTGTAACACTTTTGTCAGGTAACCAAGACAAATATTTACATTCGTCTATTTTCAAATAATCTGTACCCTTGGCAATTGCGAAAGTAGAATACGTTCGCCAGAATCAGACCAACACGAATGTTCATGAATATTTCCACTCCATAATATCAATAATCATAAATTAAACAATGCAATAATCAAGCAACAAATACATTACGATAATATTAAAAATACAAGTAGACACGAGTTCTATTACCAATGTCTAAACACTCCCTACTTCTCGACGCGATTTCAAAATGCATAAAAGCGTCCACAAAATCCTTCAAATTGACGTGAACACATCGAATCTGATTTAACCCCTTTCCGTCGAAAAAGTGATCTCCGTCTGTTTTTCCGGCGCACCATCCCACTTCCTTTCGAAACGGAGCGTACAATGGCCGCACGATCCTCGAGGATTCCCCGATTCGTGTATGAGTGGGAGGGGAGGCTAGGTCGAGAGAGGGGTGCTATTGTTCCGGTGTAGCCTTAATGCGCGCCGTTGTAAACAGCGTTACAATGGAATAACTTCGTTAGCATAATCGCGTCACAGAGTCGCCTGGCGCCCCGGCCGCTCCCGCTCCACTGCACCCCTTTTGGATTTTACGGGTGGTTTCCCTTCGGACAGCCTCGTGGGCGGACCCGATCCGATCCGCTCCTGCGTTTAACCGTCGCTCAAGTATTATTCATTGTCGCGATTGAATCGTTTATCTCGTCGCTGCTCTCATGACTGCCCCGGAGATCGTTGTCGGCGACGTTGTACACACAACCCCCTCCGACAACCGTCTTCCCGACGATCCGAGCGTTAACTCGAGCTAAATGACGAACTGTGATCGACACCCCCATCGATGATTACAAGGAACCGAGTTGCTTTCCAGTTCCATTGATTGTAGAATTGAGATTAATCAATGGATTACGGAACATCGTGCACAACAAATGAGAACCTGTAGATAATAAAATATTCTGAATGACCTCTAGTTTATTTCGTGTCAGAAACTTGAAATTTCTCTGTCAATGGAAATAAATGAAGAATCCTGATACTGAGAGTTTTACTGTAATGGAAATCTGTCCTCAATGGAATTTCTTTCAGTATCATGTATCTTGAAGTATGCTATATAGAAATAGAACATATACAACGATGCAATTGTACAAGTCACCGTTGCATATTTAATCATTCCTAAAAGTAAAAGAGCTACATTCGTCGTTCAGCCAGTCCCCGATTCACCGAAAACCGTGGAATATCAAGTTTTCCAGTTCTCCTCCGCATCAGTCATGCAGAACAAATTTCCCAGCGTCAATCTCAATTTGTTTCCTTCATTCTCAGCCATAAGTTCCCGGATAATTCGCTCGGTGGCGCAGTTTCCGCAGCACCGGTGGAATGGCTACGACCGGGATCAAATTAAGGCGAATTTCGAACGGCTGCATTAGCGTCCCGTCAAAACCCCCGCGAAATGATTACCGTTGATCGCGGACAGACCCCCGGCGGAACACTTTCCCGATCATCGTTCGCCCGTCAACAGCAACCGCGCACGATCATCGACGCGTCGGGTAACGCTCGGTCCCCCGCCCTTTGCCGTGCAACTAAAATTGACGTCGCCAGACACAAGGGCCGCTTGTCGGGCTCGGGCGAACGAGAGTGACGAGCGTTGCGAATCCACCACTCGCTTAACATTTCCATTGTGATCACGGGCAGCGTCGAAGACGGGGAGAGAGCGAAAAATGTCATGTTCGCCGGCGGGATTCGGTTTCGAATTAATTCGATCCCGGCACGGTCTGCCGAGGTTCACGTAATTGCCGGAGATATATCGATCCCCGGATGATTAGCGCGCCGCGCGTATCATTGCACGCGCTGTAATTTGACGATTTTAAATGATTCATTGAGTTAAGTCGCAAATAGCTCCAATTGTGAACGGTGAAAATCGAGTTTCCGCGGAATCGATACTTATTCCATTATTTAATATAAATTTTCTCGGAAACATGCCACGTTCACTGGTGACATAAATGAGAAATAAATTTGGAATACTTTGGTTTCATCGCCAAAGAGGATTATATATTTTCTCGAACGTGTAATTATAAAAGTGATTGAGAAATCAGCATTGATACCGAGAAAATCCATCGGAACTCTTAGCAAGTTAATCATAAAAAGGAATTTTACCGAAAACAGTTAATGAGTAGAATGGAATAACGGAGAATATCGCTATGCTTGAAACGGGGAAAGTAACAAATTCACGTTCCCCTCCATTGAAAGATTTGAAGAGAGATTGGTAGAATGGCAGCAGACAGGATGAAACGGCTATCCGTTTTAGCGAGTTAAATTCGACACGCGATCGCCCCCCAAAAATCGGGATGATGGCGAGCTCTGTCCAACGGGGACGAGAAAAAACCGCGTGAATCCGCGAGCCATTAGGGAGTTCCCCGTCCTCCGTGGCTCTCGTGCCGATTTCAGCTTCTCCCAGCGCGACGAAAAATAATCTCTTTTCTTCTTGGTCTCCCCCTTCTAGGCCGGAACGCCCGCTGCGGACGTCAAAATATGACAGCTCTCTCGGGTCACCACTTTCCGCGACAAGAGTTACGTTGAAGGGGGTTGCGACGAGCGATCATTAAAATAAAGCAGAGCTCCCGGCCGCCATGCTTTCGACTGCGGTTCGCTTCGCCGCTCTTTCCAAAACCCGTTCAGTTAAAAATAAACTTTCCGGAATAACGTGATTCGCGACTAAAATATAACACCTCTCGAAAGCGGATACTTTAGTAACTGAGTTAGTTTAATAAACATTGGGTTGACCAGTGACAGGGAACTTTCGTTACAGACACCGGAAAATTACTGAATTGTAGTTAAATGACGAGTATAATATACATATTGTAACCAAATAATCGTTTTCGGTTACTTTTAATAACGAGTAAGAATAGATTTTTGAAGAAATGTTTTGGTGCAATATAAATTCAAAGGAATAGATTATAAATAATTTTTAGTTCCTTCGGATTGGTACCACTGCGATTGGTATTAAGAAATACTATTTCGCTCTGAGTCGAGCAGTTTTTTTTCAGGGTCGTTACGAAGATAATGGTTAACGTATATTAATGATAAGTGAATTCCGAGAGATTAAGTGGTAACACGGTTCGTACATTTTCCGTTTAAGTGGCTGAGAGCCACTGAGGCACGCGGTTAAGCTGACGGAAACGGTAAATGGTTCGCATCCAACCCCCTCGACGAGACGCTAATTCATATTCATAGGTGTAGCGTTTAGCATTGTGCCGCTGGATTCTCCGGAGAGTTTGCTCTGCGAAGAACGTAGAGAAGGAGAAACATCAAGTTACATTAACTTGTCGCACCGACCACGCACACAGATTTGCCGATCGCGCGTCGTTTCCCTCGGCATTTCGGCCTTCAGAGAAGTACAGGGTGTTTTAGAAATATTGAACCAGCTGGGATACGAATGTACTTTTCATTAAAGCCAGTCAAAATGTATTCTCACATTTTCCACTGCGATGACTCGTTTAAGTGTTGTTAAACAACGGTGCATTAAATGTTTACAGTTTCTAATTTACATTAAATACAAGATAAGTGTGTAACATTTCATATGATAAATAGTAAGTCGATGAACTTCAATAGATAATTGCTAATAACTTAATAATATGGGTATAGCAATTAATGTCGCGCGATGGAATTTTTTACATGGGTGCAAAATTCAATAAACGCTATAGCCATCTAGTGTTGCAACGCACGAACTAGAATTGTTCCCGGAGATATGCAACTTGTTTAACACATATTTTATATGATTTTTTTTCTCTATATATTGATAATATTATAATTGTTTTGAACAATGGTTTTGAAGTTGGAAAAGTATTACATGAAAAAAGACAATATTGTCAGGCATTACACCTATTTATATTGTTTAAATATTTTAAGCGTTTTAATAAAATACTGGAAACGAAACAATCAAATTGGAAAAGAAATATATTTTATTTTTTAAAACTGGAAACGGTTGACTACGACAACTAAAGCACTTCTGCCATCTAGAGGTACAATAAGGAGTTAAATCTCGGTATCTGCAGACTTAAATGCGTATCTTAAGTCTGTGCGGTACTTTTCATCGATACCACTATGTCGTACTTAGTAACACCGACGAGATATAGGATAGACATGCAATGTAAATTTTTATCACACAGTCGGGGGCACATGACCACCGTACCAATACCATGTCACTTACAACCTTACCAACGGAGTGCAAATAAATGAATAAAAATCATATCCTATCCTATTTATCGTCGGTGGCAGTAAGTTTCATTCACACGCGTAGTAAAATGGTAACGTAGAACTACAAAAGTCGTAGTAACATTTTTAATATATTTTATTTGGTGAAGGATAACCTTGTATAATAATTTCTTGCTATAAAACAGGTAATAAAATGCATATTTTTTATTATACATGAAGTACCGAAACTTAAAACTTTATTAAATAATAATACTTGCATAGTATAAATATAACTGAAATACAAAATATAAATATAATATTTAAGAAAAGTATTTTCAATTTATTTACTGTATCCAGATGGGATATTGAAATTCTTGTTTATGATCTTATATTAATATATTGCAATCACAGTGTTGAACCATACAATAATGCTCCAACAATATTAAGTTTCGCCTTCAGTTTTTATGGCTTTTACATTAGGCTTTCTAAGATGATGATAATTAGGTAGAACTTTTAACAAAAATTCAAGTTGACCTACTTGTGGCTGTAATAAAGAAGGTACAGATTTCACAAATCCTGTTAATGCAACTTCATTAAATAAATATTAGTTTCAGTACTTACGTATGGTTTATCATGCATTTCTCTACGCTGACAATCACTTCCATATATTACAGTGTTTTCAGGTATTGTTTCTGGTTCAGTTAATGCACAAGCTGCTCCAACGACACAACCATTGGTCAACTCCACTTCACGCCCAACAAATGCTGCAATGAAAATATCAGTGTAATAAAAACAAGTATACAACAAATAATATTTTAATATCATGTATATAATGGTACCTTTGCTTTCTAATATATTGTTGTCACCAACTTTATATGCTTCACAAGTGCAATCAGTTTCAAATACATTAAAACTACCTATTATTTGCACTGGAACTGTTGTTGACTCAGATGCATCTGGTGGCAATCTGTGACATAACAACCATTTTACTTTGTTTAAAGAATAGAATAAAATCATTTATCATAGCATGTCAATCCTTCTAATACCTGTTTGCTATTGTTGCCATTTCTTCAATAATATTTCCTTCACCTATTATAATTGGACCTGCCTCTGCAATAATGCTTGCTCTGGGATGTACTACAGTCTTTGGACCGATAGTAATATCCCCTTTCAAAATGCTTTCATCACACACTAAAGCTCCCGCGGATATTTTCAGGCTGTGTGAAGAAATAAAACTTATATCTTCTTTGTTGTATAGAAAAATAAATCAGCACAGTACACTTAACCTCTAAGAAAACACAACTTAAACAAGTTCAATATTTTGAATTCGAACATACTTATAAATATTTTAATATTTTTATAAATACATAGTCGACAATTAACGAATATCTAACTATTAATTTAAGCATAATTTATACAGTTTCTCACTTTGTACGACGACTGACAGATGAACTCATCGTGACTGCTTAACACTAAACACATAAATACGCCATCTTCAGTGATATCTTAGAACTACATATATATGCGCTATTAAATCATAATATATTTATATACATATAATGCAACAGATACAATTGTATAATTTAATAATTCCACTAGAATAAAATTAAATACACTTCAAAAATTATATGAAATTTATATCATTCAAGAAAATATAAGTAATAAATACACGAAAATACATACAATTATTAAAGAAAATAATTATAATAAAATTATAATAAAATTATAATTATTATAATAAATTATGTTTTTGATGTATTTTCTATACTTTAATGTTACCTGCTAATTATAATTGTTGCCTTCTTCGTGCTTATTGCGGATCAAAGAATTATTAGATTCCAAACTACTAAACATTGAAATTAAAAAATATAATGTCACACCAACATAGTATCACTTGACAATTCATAAATGAAATAAAAAATTGTTTGAATCGAAATGCCACTATGAAAAAAATGTTGAGTTAGTATATTAAAGGATCCAGAATATGAAATCTCAATTTGTTAAACTAAAACTTTCTTTCACAATTCTACGACCCGTGTCTCGTTAGAAGAAACGATGTTGTAGTACACGAAAATAATAACAACAACGAAACAAATATTGTTTAAAGCAGCGTACTTCGTAAAAGAACAAGAGGATCAAGGAACAGGAACGCTCCAGGCAGGGGAGTTCAGTCGATAGCGCGTGAACCGCGCCACCCCAAGAAAATACACGCTCCCGCTTTTTTATTATTATTTTTTTTTTAATCGATATTTAATATAACTCTATATTATCCGTCAACTTTTATTTA